TGCCCATGCATCATGAGATTCGGCTTTATCTACAAAATATGCAGTGCTGCGTTTACCTTTATCAAACTGGTTCGGTTTGTCACCTAAGAATGGCCAGATATGTCAGCGAGTACAGCTGACATAACCTGCATCACACCGTCTCATGTCGAACATTAACATTATTTTACTGTTGAAGGTATAAAAACAACGATCGAATTTTTTGTTATTGGCTTTGAGGTTGACATTGATGCCTGGTATTACTGGTGATCTCTCGCATTTCTTGAGGTTAATTTGAGCAGGGCCGCAATAACAAAAATGTTTCGAATCGATGTGTGCTTTATATGACTATCTACAGTCATAGATCGTCATATAGAATAGTTCAAAACCTGGAGCCTTTAAGAAAGGATCAAAACAACCACCACGGACTTGTCCATGGCAATTACATTTTTCAAACTCATTAGTAATTTATCAAATTTAAACAAAGGAAATCATGACCGTGAAAGTATTTCGATATCTGATCTAAATTAGCTTTGATTTTTACTATTTTGTTCCACCATTTTCTCTTTAGTTTGTGTTTCGAATAAGAAGATGTATCAAAGACTAAAGACGCTGTATAACCATATTTCCACTCACCCTCGTCAAAAATATATATACTCTACCAGTCGGATGGAATCTTACATAAGACAGCGGTATTACCCAACAATTGTAGTAGCCTTTCTAAGTGTTTCTATGAAACGTTTCCTAACTTGTAATTCCTAATTGTTTTCAATTTTAGTGTAGATTCATTTGTTGAAATCATGATTTTTAGTTCTACGTTTTATTTAGCTCATTAACAATTACGAAACATCATTATTGTTACTGACGGGTGTGAAAAACAGTTCACCTTTACTCGCTACATCTTTAAAGGTGGGGGGAGGGGGTAAAGGATATGCCTTACTGATGTCCTCTCTGTTATCTTAGTTTCTTCTGTATGCGTGTCGACCTTAGCGCTTTTAACATTTCGATTCCTTAGTGTCATTTTCAAACGCAAAAATTCCCACCTGCAGACTCCTGATGTTTTGATTACGCGTGAAATGACATTCCCGAAAAAATTTCCATCCCCCAAGTTAATTATTTAGAAAAACTAACTTTGCTACAGAAAAGAAACTGTAAAAAAAAAACTGCCATTTCCTCAGCGCTTGGCCGAATAAAACTGAGAGAATGTTTGATCATGTCATCTGCCCTGCGAGATAGCTGAAAATCTTCGAAAGCGACAGACTGATATTTTTTAGCTGCGCAATACACATCGGAATAATCATAGGTTTTACTACAGATTGAGCGGCGAAATTTAGGTTTATTCAAATAGTTTGTTTAAGTGGTGGATAGGAAAGAAGAGGCCGGAAACAATGCCATGTTCTCTCGTCATCCTGCTACTTGGATTCATCTCTTCTTGCCCCGCGGCCTCTGGTTTCTTACACTAAAGATTAAGACTACAGGAAACGTCCTTGACTAATTAATGTGGCACAAAACTGAAAGCTGTGTTAAACTGACAATACCCCAAGTCCCATGTTGGCAACAGGCATTTTCTAGTATCACACAGCGCCTTACTTGTAGTCTATTATTGGTAATTAGTTGATGTAGCCAGGTTCCAAAGTGTTAGAGTGCTTGTGAGTAATGTGGCGACGGGAACCTTTAAGCCCACACTGTAGTGCAGCACTTCAGTGAGTTTTCTTTAGTTTCCTTGCTATAGATAGTTTCACAAACATTTATCAAACTGTTGAATCCTCCCAAAACTGACAAAATAAAAGGCCAAACGCGCGAGACTTTTCAGGGGAATCACGACACTAGGAAATTGAAGGCTTTGTTTCTGACTACTTGTAATACATTTTTGGACTCTAACCAAAATGAACCGTGAGGATTGCGCCGGATGTATTTCGTGCACAAAAAATTATCGTATGTCAACTCTCTAAAACGAATAACTTTTGAACCTGTCATGATACGAATTCTCACAAAGAAGTCAGCAAGAGAAAGAAGAGAGGAAGTGGGAACCTTTTCTATAAAAGTACGTTGAGAATGATTATCTGGGAACAGTAGGGACTATATGGGGGATTAACACTCTTATTCTTCTTCCTCTCTTGCAGTCAAGTATTAGCATTGGAGACCTGCTTGGTAGCAGCCTCAAACGTTACCTAAATGAGTCGAAAAAGGCTAAGTGATCTCTATGACTGATTTTTCTAACTCCTCATTAATTAAAAGTGAATGAAGTATCATGATTGTATTCATTCTTGAGCCCTTTAGAAATTAGAAAAAAGATCAGCATTGATGTAATTTCGGGTTCTTTTTCGACTGTAATTACAGAAGAAAATCGTTTTTACTTGAACGCTTGGGAATCTTTGGACTTTAACAAAAGGGTACCCACGGGTATCAAGTTGTCTGCAGGAAGGTTGTCCTCTTTATTTCTATGGCACAAGAATGAATCGAGGGTCAGCAATTCGAGCAGGCAGTGAGGAAGTCGCGAGTCGAGAGTTGCAAGTATCTTTCCTTGTTTTTACAGATCGATTCACGGTATAATTGCCAAATGATCACGCAGGAAAACTCCCCTGAGGTATACTTCCTATCAGAGGTAAGGCTAGGGTAATGGTACAGGTGTATGACAACATTCAATTTTAGTTAAATGAACTCTTGAAGGACATCACCGCAGACGATCTCCAGACGATCTCGAGTTCGTGCAAGTTGGCAATAAGATTACAAAGCCAGATGGAAATGCTTCATTTGATGCTTTGGGAGTTAACAAAGTTTATGACAGGACTCCGCTGGGTGGTAATCTTTGGTGCTCTTGGCAATGTGCTTTTGATGATATTTTTTGCATTTGATTTAGGCATTTTACATTAATACTTCTCGTTAGTTGGTAAAAAAGTAAAACACAGATTTAGATGTATAACGCATTTCTAACCAAATCCTGCGCTGTGATTGGCTTTCCGAGTGGGCAGGTTACCGCTATCTTTCCCTTTCAGGATTACACGCTATTTCTCGCAAGAAAGCAAGAAAAGTTTTACCTAAGCCATATGGTAATTCTCTTATTGACCAGGCTCTTTCGGGCAACATCGCTGGATATTGCATGGTCTCGTTCGTTTGCAGCCATCTTGACCTCATCCTTGGTCAATTACCCATATATATAGCAATAGGTATGATCGTGTTCTTCCACTGACGGCGACTTCTCAAGGTCGTTTTGGTGTCTGGAACAATGCAACTCCGATAAACGATCTCGCTCTACTCTTTCTTCATAGGGAATATCTTTCATAACAAGAATCAAAGACTGTTTAATCAACCTGTTTTCGGTTGTTTCGTTGGTTGGTTCGCTTCATGGTTGGTTGGCCATGGTTGATTAGTTGGTTGCTTAGTTGGTTGGTTGGTTGGTTGGTTGGTAAGGTGGGTGGGTGGCTTCTTGTTGTTTAGAAGAAACCGATTTCTCTTGATTTGTTTGAAAGGATTGCTACGTGATATCAATCTTCTCAACCAAAAATAAGGGCATCGGTTACTAAATTCAACCAAATAAAATGTGAAATGAACTTAATAAATTGGCCGGTTCCCAATGTATGGCGCTCCATAGTTCAGTTGGTATTCCGACGATGTGCTGTGTAGAGGAGATTACAAAAGTGATTTTTCTGGGGCATTTAGTTCTCTATTTAAATTATGGGGAAATTCCTTTTCACCTCATGAATAACATATCAACAAATCATAGTAATGACTGTCACTCGCGATTTGGTCTAAATTTGACGGATGTGTCGGCGACTACAACCGAAATAGCCCGCATACCGCGTGCTAACGTCGAAAAGTAACCACATATTCTGGTTAAGGTATAAAAATTTATTGAATCGTTTGTTATTGACTTTGAATTTCACATTGATGCTTGGAATATGACGTACATGAGTTGATCTTGAAAACTTTGTTTAACCATTTAAGCCATTAGTTTTCATGTAAATAATGTCTCTTACCAGTGAGTATTCGAAAGATCATATATTTGAACTGTGTAGACAGGAATGATCATCGCAGTTGTGTACACAACTTAAACAGCTGTGAAATTAAAGCTTGAAAAAACTTCAGGCTTGACCGGGATTAAAACCCATGAACTCTGCGATACCGGTGCTGTGCTCTATTAATTGAGCTATTACACCAGGCTCAGAGCTGAGAGAAGGTCACGTTGGGAGTTCGTAATATACCCGTAGATGGAGAAGGATGTAAGTTAATACAAGAAAGATCATGTATTTGAACTGTGGAGAAAGACGGATGTAAAGACATGAATTATCATCACAGGTGGGTACTATACTTCAGAGGCTATGAAAATAAAGCCTAAAGAATCTTCAGTTAGACTTACCGGGATTCGAACCTATGACCTCTGTGATACCGGTGCAGTGCTCTACCAACTGAGGTACAGTGTATACCACGCCAGCTGGGAGCTGGTCATGTTGGGAGTTCATAATATACCCGTAGATGATGAAAAGAAGAAAACGAATACCAGAAAGATCATATATTTAACCCGTGGAGAAACATTTAAAGACATCAATGATCATCACTGTTTTGTATACAACTTAGGCAGCCGCGAATTAAAGCCTGAAGAAAACTACAGGTCTGAACGGGATTCAAACTCATACCCCTGCGATACCAGTGCCGCGTTTTACCAACTGAGGTGTTTAAAGGTTGTGAAGCTGTGTACATGCCAGTGTCTCTAAGTGGAGTAGTGTAACGTATTTCTTAAAGATCATTTCAACAGTTAAAAAAATGTGTTTAATCGATGTGTGATTTGTATGACTATTTGGTAAATCAATTGCGAAATTCACTTTCTACAGTCATAGATCGTCATATAAAGTAGTACAAAACCTTCAGTCTTTAAAATAGGTCGAAACAATTACCACGGACGTGTCGTCGGTAATTTCATGTGGAACGTTCTGCCTCAGAATGAGAAATGTATTGAAGACCACGACTCTATCCAATTGACGCCTATCAAAATATTTTAACTCGTTTTGATAGGAGCTTATGAAAAAGGAAGATATGTGAAAGGTACACTGACCGATTAACAATGAGAATAACCGAAGATCGATATTGCCATTTATGGACGTGTAGAAAAATTTTGCACATTTTTGCACATAATTCGCTTCATCATTAAACGATATACTTTACTGATGCCCCATCTGTTATCGTAGTTTCTTCTGTACTTGTCGACCTTGCTTTTTTAACATTTTTTAGTGTCATTTTCGAAAGCCAAACTTCCCACCTGCAGACTCCTGATGTTTTCAATACGCGGGGAGTGACATTACCCGACAAAGTCTCTACCACTAATTAATGTTTCAGGAAAACTAGCCTTGCTACAATAGAAAAACTATGGGAAAAATCCATTACCTCAGCGCTTGACCAAACTCCAATGAGAGAATGTTGGATGAAGTCATCTGTCACCTGAGATAGATGAAAATCTTCGAGAGTAAAAGATTTGTTTCAGTTGCACACCACACATCGAATAATCATAGGTTTTACTCCAGATTGAGCGGGAATATCTAGGTTTTCTAGGAAAGGAGAGGCCGGAAAACAATGGCATGTTCTCTCGCCATCCTGCTACTTGGATTCATTTGTTCCTTCCCAGCTGCCTCTGGTTCCTTAGCCTCCAAGCTCTCAAAGGCAGCATTGGTACCCTCTACCGCCATTGGAACTTATTCCCGGTCCAGTACTGTCGCCGCGTTATCGTTGCTAGAGCAAGAAAAGTTGGAAGAGGCGACAGAATCTCTTGTTCAAACAGCACTGACCCTCAGTCTCCTTGATGTTGGAGGGGGCGCCATTTTACCCATCACCGAAGAAATTGTGACGTACATCACAACCAAGACCGAATTCGCAGCCACCAGAGAAGCTATTGCATACTACAACAGGATTCTAAAAAGCGAAATAAGCAAAAGTGCAACTCAGGGCATGAACAAACAAACTATTAGAACTGCCAAAGAAACCTTAAAAAATACCCTCAACGATGACGTAGCAAAGTTTTCTCGTGTGAGTAAGGTTAAAAAAGCTTTTACTAAGGTTACCAAGTGGTTCGGTAAAGCTTCAGTATTCGATGTGCTTGGGCCACTCACTGATACCATAACTATAGGTCTCAATATTTGGGGACTTGACATCGCCATCAGGGATGGAAATGACGCTGGCATCGCTGCCGCCTCGCTGAGTATCCTTGCCGGAGTGGTAGGAATTGGCACCTTTTTCGCTGCGGTAGCTACAGGATCGGCTGTGCTTGGACCAGTTGGAGCTATAGCTGGCGCAATTCTGGGAATTGCTGCAACCTTAATAGAACTGTTCGTAGGGCCACCCTACGATAAAGCCGCAGTTGAGGCATATAGAGCAAGACTAAGAGAGCTTAGAAACCTTAGAGACGCTTGTGTGAGCCAAATCGACAAGCGAATGGAGTTTTTGGAGAATGTTGGCTCACCATACAGTGATGTTTATGTCAACAACCAGGCGGCTTCTATGACAGAAGTTGAGTCGGGAGAGTTGCAACTGCTTGATTCTTACATGAATCAATACTATCGCGGAAAAGTACCATACCAGAATTCTATGTACCACCGCGGATTCAAGGGCCACTTTACCAGATATATGTTATCAGAGGCGAAGGAAGAGATGCGAAATAAGACTTACGTATGCATTGGCAAATACCGTGGCATAGTGAGTCCAAAGATGCCTCTTGCATCAAGTTCCACAGGCTGGGGTAAAACAACTGGCTTCATTGGTTTTGATTTTTATGGGAAGTATAAAAGGGACACTACCTACGGTGGTGTTCACGTTTTCATCAATTCAGAATTTATATCGGAGGAGGAATTGAACGGCATTAATATCAATACTTTTTTGAGCCTTGGATCGGATGCTGATCAAGAACAGACGCCCCAAAATGATGTGATTAGTATAAGTGATTACAAGAAGCTCCGTAAACGTGACAAAATAAACATACGAACCGGATTCGGAAGTGATTGCTTGAACATAAATGGCATGATAGGAGAGTTCCATCAAGATTATGAAAATTCATTGATTGCCGATATGGAATGGCACGGATGGAACATTCTGTCATTTAAAGGAATGTCGAGAGACCGCGATGACATCAAAGGAATCTTCTTTGACACAAAACATGAAGTCTTGAAATACTTCCACGGAGAAGATAGAAGAACTCACACTCTTGGTAAAGTGTTCTTTGTCACCCAGTTTGTCGGTTCGCCATTCGATGATCACGTTATTCTACATCAAAACCTTTTCAAAGTTTTTCAAACATCCGGAAGTAATGTATACGAGTTTGATTTTGATGAATTTGATCTCGGCAAGCCATGGAGTACAAAATTTGAGATCACTGACCAAAGCAAGCAGTCTCTAAAAATTAACTTAAAAACTTCGGATGCTTCTAAAATTCCGCCAAACAATATTGTTCTTTCCTACAAAAAACTGAAAATCTTTAGTACAAGGGGTCAGTATACTTACATACCTAGAATAGAAGTCTCCTTGTGGAATACAACAACCAATGGCAACATCTTTATCAACGATGACAACCCCATCCCACTGGATCACGGCCATCTTAGTCCTTGGCAATTCAATGGCGAAAGAAGGAATTTAAACATTGGTCAATCTCCGCGGACTGTTACTTACGACGACGGTAACAGAGAAGATTTATTACTATTGAAATGGCCAACCGACCAGGATCCAGATTCCACAGATTACACGATTGACATGAAGGGCGGCACAGATTACGTTATGATTAGCGATAAGTACTTTCTTGACCCTTCTGGTGTTGATGGTGAAGACGTGATTCTTATGCTAGATCAAGGTTCCGACTCAACGGGTGCATTTACAGTGGTCATCCAAAAGAGTGGCAATGATGGATTCCGCACAAATCTTGAGTTGCGAAACGTAGAGAGAATAATTAATGAGTATGGCAATCGCCTGGTTGCATTCGATGTGGGGAGTCATCAGTTTCCGATGGATCTGTTTGACCGATACGTAGAAGTTACTCGCATGACACTAAAGATTAAGACATCAGAAGATGTCCTTGATTAAGGTGGCCGAACACAGTTTTCG